CTTAATAAGATAGTTGAATATGGAGTGTTCTATAGTGGGAATGTGTCGAGTTTTAGGAAAATTGATTACTTTCGCTTTATTCAATGCGAAATTAATTATATTTCGAAATTAAAGTTAAATGACAATAGATAGTGAAAATTTGGAATGTCAGAAATCAATATAAATTAATTGTAAGTGGTGCCTAAAGTTTTTCCAAAGTTCATAATACCATCAAATTTCGTCAAATAAGACATGTGAAAGTTTGGAATTAAATTTCTCAAAATTTCTTCTTAGATTCTGTATTGTAGCAATCCAGGTTCATTTCTATTGATGCACGATTAAAGCAAACAAGGAACTAATAGTGTAATAATTAAGTGACTGAGTGTATCATAATAATGTCTAAAAAATCCTCAACCAGTTATTAACTTCCAATAAATAAAGTTACATTTGCATTTCGTAATACTAATGATTAACGTTACATATTATACTGCCATTATTATGATGATCGCTTTCTTTCCGATAACAAAGTCCGTAATTGGATTGCTTCCGCATCTGACCAAATATTTCGGTCAGTGAAAAATTCCATTCCGGTCAATAGTTCGATATCCCGCATGCGAGCTGTATTGTCATAGAGATATTCCGAAGGTTTCTGTAAAAAATATCCACTGCAGCAATAAGCTTAATTTAAAACCAAAACGTTGCAACCACTGTTTCATCTCAAAGTTTTCTCTTTTTAAAAGAAGCCATTTCCTCTACTCTTTAACATAATAAAAAGTTGTCGATCAGTTTTTATATTAATGCATTGGAAACTTCGAACTTTCAACAAGCTGTATATTTGCTTGTTTGAAAGAAAATCTTATAACTACGATTTTTATTCAAAAAATAGGGATGATCGAAATTGGTCAGTCTTCTTATCTTTTAAATTCTCAATTAAGTAATTCTGAAATGAATAATACTTTTTGAAAATGTCATATATTCTAAATAAAATTATGCAATTTTTCGATGCAAACTTAGGTGCTTAAATTATCTCACCAAACAGTTCAAATTTTTGCCGTTAAAAGGTAATATGTAAGGGACGAAAACAATATCTTTGCATGAAGTATAACCGACTAATACGCTATTTTCGCACCACATGAGCACGAAGAATAAATGTGTTGGATCACTTCTCCTGAAATTCAATATTTGTTTCGCAAGGAGAAAAAAGACAACAGGATATATCGAATATTTGGGTTAATGGCTAGTTATACAAAAATTTGTCGATACTTCAGTGGGTACCTGATGAGATCGTCACTGTCGCGTACCCCATCTCCATCTTGATCATATACTGCACCAGAAAAGAACCGTAAGTTACGATACTTGGCCAGATATTCAACTGTTTCATTTAAAACGTACTGCCATATTCCTGAAAGTTTTTTTAATTTCCAATTTAGCATAGTCTATTACACATAGAAATATAATAGATAATACTAGATAATTTAAGATTATCTAGTACTTCATCAAAGGTATAGATGAAAAACTCTAAATTATGGCTAATTTACCATCAGCAAATGTTTTTGGCACCAACAACTGAGTTAGATCAAGCGTATAATAGCGGTCTGAAACGATATCTATGATACAACAACATTTCAAACGCGAATGAAAGAGTAAAGACGAAAGTTATATTGACGGACAAAATTATCTGACCATTTTTGAGGCCTCAGATAGTTAACTTTTTTTTTTAAAAAAAATGCTTAAAGCTTAATTTGCAAAGTAGTACCAGTCAGATCATCGACGATCCCAATTGAATGCCTTCAATCAATCTGCCTAAAGTTTCCTAAGATATTTTATACTAATCAATCATCGCTATAAATTATAAGATACAGAAAGATAAGTTACCAAGATTTCCAAATAGTGAGATTGGCGAGTAGTTTTCATTCTTTGGAGTTTCATATGAATTAGTCTCTGTGATATTGTCAACATAAGTCACACAATTTCCCCTGAAACAAATAATTGTTGTAACTTTTGGAAAAGATGTGCGCAAACATTGGAGAATAAATAAATTCTTCCACTAATTGGAATACGCTAATTTTAACTCTTTCTTCCATCACATAAAAGCTCACTTTATCTCTTTCATCCAAATAATATTCCGCATGATACCTTCCACCATTACTGTCTTTCGCAACTTTTTATCAAAATGTATAATTGCATCACATAATTTTATGCTGCAGAGTTCACCCGTGAAATGATAAGCGGCACTAACAGAACTGTGTAATGTCATCGGACAATTCCGGTACACATCATCCATTAGCTGAGTGGTTATGAAAATGTTAGAAAATTACTGTGAAAATTAAATTATTAAAAGAAAAGATCATATTCCTCATCTTTATTCTTAGTGCATTCATAAACAGTAGAAAAGATCACGACAACTTCAAAGAAAGGTGTAAGGATTGATGATTCAATTTCGAACAGTAACATCTGCTTGTAGCTGACGATTTTTTTCGCTAGATTCAGAACTTCGGAATAAAACTTAAGTTAATTGGTTTTCTGAAAGTTCTCGTAGATGACACAAAAATTACCGGGCAGTTATGTGAGAAATTACAAATTTTTATGTTTATCTTATCAGTGCATTGTTCTGATGGACGATTGACAGCCGTTATCGGATAGGCTGGCGGATTGCGGAGTACAGTAAATAAAGTACCATTAGTTCCATTGTTTGGTGCCGCATCAATTCGTAATAAATCTTTATAAAAAAATAATTACGAAAGGTTTGTTTTCTATTATCTAAGGAAATATTACGAGTCAAAATTTTCAGACAACTCCACCAAAATAATGAAGTGCTCCGGCATTCTATTCTTCGATGATTCCGATCTTCGAAATGCAGTCTGACGAATTCATTTTTTTTCACCTACATTCATTTTGACTTCTGAAATGAGAACTTACTTGCGAATAGATTATAAAGCTCAATGTTCTGGAAGCTACTGATTTCCCGATTTTGCGCAATATCAGGACCGACAGCAATGAAGATGGCTCTCATGCTCTCAATCCGGTTATCGTATCCGTGGTCGCCAAAATTTTTGTACGATTCTCTCTGTTCATCTGTCCTAAGCATGAAATAGCTTTTACTCCCTAATAATGTATTTCGAACATCTAATTGATATTCTGAAATTCATATCTTGAAAAGTTCTACCATCTCTAAACTAATTAAATCAAATAACAAATTAAAAAGAATTATTCGGCGTAGAAAAATTTCAATTCAAATACATATTTGGTGTATGGTCATGACAAGAACAGAATGCGAGCTATATTAAACACAGTTAGTGCCAATAATTTCTCCAACTTTGAAAAGAAGATTTTGAAAAGCACATACAGGAAAATGCATATTCCTGGAACTCCTTTAATGATAATTTCGCCTATTCTTGATGAACCAGAATAATGAAACCTTATTGGAACCAAATCCTTTCTGTATACTAAATAATTATTTCCATGTCGACATTCCATCTTCGAAATTAAATCATTAACTGCATTATCTGCATCTGGAAAATCCTAGGCATAAGAATATTCACAAAAAATTTATTGATGTTACCGTAAAGGTGTTTGAAAATTAATATGAAATACACATTAAGAAAAGCATCGTTACCGTTTTGAGATGAATAAGCGGTCTGGTTGATTTTTATTTGAGCTACCACGCCAGAAAAAAAAATGTCGCTGAATTGTGGTCCTAAGTAACTCTGAGCAATCACAGACCTTGTCTTGTCCATTTGTTGCATACCTGTGAAAATGAAAATCAAAACATTTAATAAGAATATTAATCATCTTGCACTAAAATATTTACATGATCCGATAAAACCATTTGGTTTAGATATGTCATCATAATTGTTTCACTGCAAGAAATTTTTTTGATCGAAAATACTGCCGACGGTCCGGTTGAAAGAAGGGAAAAAGAAAACGTTTAGCAAAATTTATCTTTTCTAGCTGTCCTAGAGTTTCTTATAGAAAACAAATATTAAATCAAAAAACAAATTAGAAAAAACAAATTATTAATTTATATTTTTCCCTTTAAAAAATAACATTTCAAAATAATCAAAAGCTTCAAGTTTTTAAAGGAATGTAAACCAGCAACCATGATCGGAAAGAAGGATGAAATTAATGCAACCCATAAAACCTTCTTCAGCCAGTCGATTTATCAAATAGTTAAGCATTCCATCCATTAAGATCATCGCCGTGCGAACCTTGAAATAAATTTAATTAAATCGTTGGTAAATAGCATATGTAGTAAAAATTACCATTTGAGAATCCGGTCCACCCGCATGCCCGGCATGATCCGGTTCCTCAAAATATGCTTGTATAAGTAATGGTCGTTCATTATCCGGCAGTGTTAACCATTCGATTATCTGAAATTTCACTAGTTTATCCTTTCCGTTCAATATTATTTGCAAGTTATTGATCCATGTGTTAAAGGATTAAAAAAAATTCATTATTCGTTTATTTTGCTTTAAAACAGCCTTTATCATGTTAGTTTAAAGGATATATTATTTAAATGTGTCTTACACGTTGAAAGAAATTCTATTCAGCATTAAATAAGTTGAAAAAAGAATTATAATGATTTCGATGGATAGAAAATGAATTAGTGATATTTACTGTTGCTAAGATAATCGAAGACAAAATTGAGACCAAAAAGGAAAATGACTATCACTTAAATCTATCAATAATTCACTTACTGTATCAATACGATCTGTGAATGGTACAGAGCTACTGTAATTCCTCCAATAATTGGGCCATTTACCTAAAATAGTCCCTTTTTTGTAAAGTTAGGAAGAATGCGAGAGAAAAAGAACGATATCATCGATAAATGGACAATTAGCATAAATTAATTGGTTGATAGAATGTGTGTTCAAGGATGATATTAACAACAGCTAATGGTTAATAAATGAATTAGAAGGTATGATTTAAGAATGTATGCGAAGTTTTTGAATAGCATAAAACGTATTTCTTTCTTACCCTCTCCTTCACTTCCAGGCCAGAAAAATACTCCTGATTTGTGACCCGCTTTTTGTACCGTTTCCCATATCTGAATTTTTTAATTTGATTTAAATAAGCAAAATATTTGATTCATAAAGATAAGAAGGGAGAAAAAGCGATTCATCATGATGCTTCATTATCACGATTAAAATATCTTGTTAATTTAAATGAATATACAATTTCAGAATCAAGTCATAACCGCTGGTAATGATGAGATTCCATGAAAAGCAAGCTATAAAAAATTCTGAGAAAATGTATACAAATTTAGAAAATTTGTAAACAAAGAAGTCAAAAAAAGCATTTACCGGTTCTCCGAGAAACCATCCAGATTTTTTGGTACTTTTGCGGAAAAAATCCTGAAATAGTAATTAAAAGTTAATGCTTGAGGAAACAATATGCAATTGATAAACAAGTAAAACTGTTAAAACCAAAAAACGCATGAAATAATTCCTATGAGTAAGATTCGATCAATTGCAGTTACAATATAAAAATGAAATCAAAAAATCGGTCCTTAAAGAAGCATATCTTCCATACTTTCATATGAAAATAGCTCAGTCGTGAATAGACTCTTAATGAGTACTTTTAAAACATGCAATATTATTTATTCAAATATTGAATGAAAAATATCACCTTGAATTGGGTATCGTAAAAACGATTATCTACGATTCCATGCCAAGCGGGATAAAGTCCTGTTGCAATGGTATAATGGTTGGGAAAAGTTTTTGAAGGAAATGTTGGTAACATATATTTGCTATGGGTACCATAGTTGATCAAACGCTGGATTGTTGGTGTGATATTTTTATCCAAGTAACTATCTCGGAAACCATCAAAACTAACGATGAGTAATGGAGGTATATCAAACCTACAAAATAAATACTTTAGCAATATAAGTTATTACCGATGGAAATTATTCAACCGAATGATCTCTTTAATACAATTGATTGGATGCTTCAAACATTATCAAATGAGAACATCTCTAAGAATCATCCATTTAGATGATAATAATTGTTATAATGTTAATTTGCTAATACAATAAAATCACTTACTTTTTTTTGCATGTACATAGATCATAGTGACCAAAAGGTTGAGCAGCAACGTTGTGTTTCTGAAGTTCCGTTCTCAAAATCATATACAAGCTACCAAGTACGATGACAGCAGCAATGAGAAGTGGTATTATGATTCCCCATGCTAATAATGTGAATTTTCGCAATTTTACATTCTTATCTGCTACATTCATTGAAATATCTTCTTTGAATTCATAAACTGCAACATCAGAATTTCTCCCCTAAAAGTATTATTTAGGTAATTTTGTTGATGATATCGTATAATAATAATAATAATATAATGATAACATTATGTTAGTTAAAAAAACTTATGCTCTTTTTTGTATCATTTAAGTTTACTTCTTTATATTCCTATACAATTAAATGTGATTCAATTTACAGTCACATTATTCGCATACATAGCAATATAAAAACAGCAAAATTCATTAATACGTATCATTCTTTCAATCTAAAATTAACACTATAAATATAATAATTTTTATATCATTTTGATGCTAATTTTTTTGTTAATGAATTGTTTCAATAAATACAAATTCAAATAATATTTTTTTATTTCAATCTTCTCGTAAGGTAATAAAGTTAATTCATTATATTAATGTGTACTTGCAAACATCGAGTGCAATTGTAAATTCAATCGTGACAGATTATCAAAATTGATTGAAAGCAATCATAGGAAGAGAGTTTCTTGCAAAATAGTTGAAGGAGATAGCGCCAATCACTTCACGTTTATGAAGTAACATTTGAAGTAAATTGGCCCAACTAATAGTTTAAAAAATTTCTTGCATTTTTTTTTTAAATGCAACAACAATGACACTTCTAAGTGACACTTTGACGTATAATCAAAAATAGATCGAATCCCAGCAACGATTATCTTACTGTTTGAACAAATAAGATTACATCAATAAAGATATGGTTAATCTCCGATGATCTAATGAATCCCTATTGAAACCATTACATTTGGCAATTATACTCTGCGATTATCTATAATGTCTAATTAACTACAGCGTCTAAAACCGTTATCAGCTAACAGAAAAAGCTTAATCTTTTTAATGACAGTCCCTTAAGTATCAAGATTTCAGGTACTAAAAAGATTGAATTACAATTTTTGCTTCACCCATCATATTCTTTTGATTTCACCAGTAGTCTTTCAATTATCTCGATCACTTTTTTTATAAAGAAAACTTTTCACAATTTGCAGGATATTGAAATGCGTTTAAGGAGTTTATCAATTTCGAAACACAGATTTCCTTGCTGCCGAATTAAACAAAATCAGTTGTGTTAGTAAAAATGTTTATTATTATTCTTGTTTTGTTCAATCGGAACTTCCGGCATTATTTTAGTAGTAGATGCAGATAGATGACAATTGATATTTTTACATGTACTATTAATTTAGTTTTAAAAACAAACAAGAAAAATTCCTATGTTGATTTGAATACATAAGATTAATAACATAAATTATTTATTTTTCATTTTATTTAACTGATGAATAAGTTCTAAAATTTTTAGCTTTTTTTAATAGATCTGATGAAATGTCTCAGATAATATAACTTCATAAGGATGAAATTAATGAATACAATTCTATAGTTTATAATATAGACAATTAAATTTCATAGTTTCATTTCTCCAAGTTCTTCATAATTATTCAATTAATTTTTACCTTTGGTACAACTGCAGCCATCGATTGTTTTCGTTGTTATTGTTGATATTGTAAAGTCTGTCTATTCCACAATGTAACAACGTATTGTTGTACTGCAAAATTCGATTGTATGTTTTACAGTTACTTTTTTGCTAATATTTGTAAATGAATATTTTTAATGTGAAGAAAATATATTATGGATGGCGTAAGAGAAATGAAAGGAAATTTTTACATTTGTTCCGTATTTTTATTGCTTTCTACATTTCCTTCCTTTTCAAATTCATTAAAGACGAAAGGAAAAGAAAAAAGATTGTGACAGATGACTGTCGCTTGCTATTTTGGTTATTTGTAACTTAAATTAATTCTTTTAAAAAGGAACAAAATTAATTCTTTTTAAATATTTTATTCGTTTTTTTTTCTTCAATTCTAATATCTGTCAATTTATGATAAAACAATGAACAATTTATTTAATTCATCAAAAACTGTTTATTATTGCAAGAAAAAGCTTAGCGAAACAAATTTTGATCGAGAATGAAAAATGATCAATGAATGAATCAATGAATGAAATGAATGAATGAATATAAAATGAATTGTTGAAAATTTTGGAATGAAATAAAGTACATATTAATTAGATCGAATAACTCATTTAAACATTCAATAAAGTTGCATGCTTCAGTGTTAAAATATTAATATTGTGTATATTAGCTAATATATATGTATGTATGCATGTATTGAAAGAAAAAAATATATAATACATATTTTATGTAAACATATATATGTGAATGTGAAACATACACATACATTAATATGTAAAGTATAATCATGTGATCATTGTTTTTTAAGAGAGAAAAAAAAAGATGTATAGGCAATTAACATTTTAATGAAAAGAGTAGGAATGGCAAAGAATATATCCTAAAAATTAAAAATGAGCAATTGTAGGAAAGATTCAACGATGTTTGTTTTATTACTGCAAACTACAAACATATACCCTTAATTTGAACTTTAACATTGTAATAAAATACCTGTTTGATATTTGCATGAAAGCTTTTTTTGTCAAAAGTAAAAAAAGTACTGTTAATAAAACAAAAAACTGAAAAGGTACGTTAGTTTGTTTAATAAATTATTTTACTTACATTGGCTGTTTGAAAGTTGCTTGAATGTTTGAAAGTTATCAACAAAAAATGTAATAGTTCATAAGTTCAAATTGAAGAATTGATGAAAATGGAAATTTTAGGAATATAAAATGATCAAAATGATATTTATTATATACAATATTAACAGTAATTAGATTTACAAGTTTAATAACTATTAATTGTATATTAACAGTAATTAGATTTAAAACTTTAATAACTATTAATTGCTTTTTTCATTCCCACTAAATGATTAATGTGAACAAGTAAACTAAGTTTCATTTCTATAAGATTGATTTTTGCAACAAATATCTTACGAGGGTCAATTGATAATCTGATCTTAAAGGTTTAAATTTTGTTCGAAGATTAAACATAAAATTTGGTATAAGTTGTTTTAAGATAGCATGAAAAAGGTGAAGCTTTTGATATCATTCCTTAATAGTTTTAGCTTTCTTTTATAAGATTAAGAATAAATATTATCTGTAAAATAAGTTTGTTAGAAAGACATTAAAGAATTTATAATTTAAATTTTGACAATACTTTCCTTTAAAGTAAACAAATGAATTTTTCCTTTTTTATTTTACTATCAGTGACTATTTAAGATGAGAAATCATGAAAATTGTACAGTAATAGATGGAGAAGCGCTGGTTATACACAAATATTATGCGGTTCATAGTAACTTTGTTATATTTGGCTTTTAATTCAATCATTCAAATCATTGATAGATAATGCCATTATTTCGCTTTCTAAAACATTTTAGATTAAACGGCGAGCTATATGCTAGGTATATTAAACTGATAATTTGTTAGACTAAAACCTTAGCGAAGGTATTCGTTTTATTAAGATGATTTAAATGATGAAATTAAGGATAATTTTTCATGCAATTTATTTCAATTCCTTCTATTTCGTTCATTGTTTTGCTTATCAATGATTTAATTTAGATTTGTTGTCTGAATTTATCCCATCAGCGATTTATGATGAATTTCCGACTAATGAAATTTTAACGATTTAATGCTAATAAAAATTACATTTCACACTCCAAGAAGAAGTAATGATAATGGAAGAATAATTTAATGTTTTAAAAGTTAGAAGTAAAAGCTCATCGAAATAATTTTGAAAAATAGGCATATTGGGTAGGCGGGATGATAGTATTTAACTGATAGATAAGGGAAATCATTTGTGTTAAATTTATTCAAGGAACGAAATTAGTGAAATTCAAGAAATACATCACAAGAATCGATAATTATACGCTAAATAGAATATCAACAAATCTTTTTGCACAAAAAAATCGAATGACGCCTCTTCTTAGGAGGATTGGTTTGCCCTTTGCTTGAAATCTTTCTTACTCATTTGATCGATTCTGAATGATCCCGCGTAACTATCAGCTATTATCTTCAGATGACCTTTGTCATCTTTCATTCTGTTCGCGTTGAATACGTTGATGAATTGTTTTCCAATATGTTGATAACTGGAATAAACCTGTCCTTGTTTGCCCTACACTTCTCTGTCTTCGGTCAATTTCAAAAAATAAATCCTGCACAATTTATCAGATTTTATTTTTTCACATGAAATTAAAAATTATACATACTAACAGTATTCCATTTATTCGTTCGTTTTCTGTTATTGACAGCGTTTTGTAAATTAATAAAAATTTTTTTTTATAAAAATGATATTTACAGTTTAAAAGAATTATATTCATTTTATCATATAAATAAAAATTATGAAAAAGAAAACAATAACAATAAATTTATAATAAAAGTACTTATAAACAAGAATAAACGTTTAGAAATTGACAACGAAAATAATATTTTATTGTACAAAAAATCGAAGATCGCTGAGCATTTTTTATTATAATATAAAACTGTCAACAACACATAACCATTAGAATTAAAAATTCGATAATAAAATTTGAATTGCTTATTTCTGTTAACAATCATTAATAATTCGTTGAGAAATTGCAAATTTTATTTCAAAATTTTATACTTTTACATTCATTAACATCACATGTGCATCGATCGCAGTATCGTTAGGCAACTTTCAATCCTTGAATATTATTCCCAATCTCAAATAACTATTTCTTAATCCATCAACTGATAAGTTGGATGAGAATAGACAAGTGGTTTCATCAATTATAATTATACCTGTATGTTGTGATTAAGAGTTACAAATTTTATCATTCATAATGAAATTTGGTTAGTTATTTTGAGGTTATTTAATTATTAATTTCTGTTAGTTATTATTATAATCTATAAATTTTCTCATTTATAGATTAAGTAAGGCAAAAAAAAGATATTTGTAGAAAGAATAAAACATTGAAAATAATCAAAATTAGCCAATTGGTTTTCATCGATATTTGTTGACAGACACAATGGCAGGCAGATAGTTCACCCATAACTTATGCATGGTTATGCCAATAAAGCAAGTGTTATAATGATAGCAATGATAATAAAAAAGAGAAAAAGTGGTACAAGCAGACAAAAGCAACAATTGGCCCAATTCCATGTTGAATTGGTTGTTGTTGTCTTTTCAGCTTCCATCAAACGAACTCCATTAGTGTCAACTTTGTCTCTTCTTCCATTTATTGACCTTAAATTTATTTTAGAAATTTCGAACTTTTGTTTTAAAAGTTATAATTTGTTAAAGAAAGAAACAAACAAAACACACTTTTTTAATGATTGCTATTTTTATTATTGTAATTAGTGAGCAAACTACTAAAACAACAGGAAAATTGTTATTTGTTGAAAATATTTTGCATTATAATCGATAGCAGATCAAAAATTAGAATAAATGAATTTATTAAAAGGTAATCAACTAATCAATCTATCAATAAATATGTATTCTATTAATTTGTGATGATAGGAAGGGAACAAAACTTATAGAATGTTCGTTTCTCTTGAAGCGGCAATTATTATTATTATTGCTGGAGTTAATGCATTTTATAAACTTCTAAACAAACTTCATTTTATCAGGTTGTCTCAGTTCTTAACTAATTTCTATGAAAATCAAAACTTGTTGGATTTGTGAAAAATGAAATTTGTGGAAATTAATATTTGTTCAATTTAAAATTCAAACTACAATTTGCATGGACTCGGAAATTCTCAAGACTTGCTAACATTTGTCACGATTTTGCGGTAATTTTTTCACTCTGAAGGTTGTATTTGTAAAACTCTACCTATTCTAAAGTGAAAACTATTTTAGTGAGAGCTAAAGTGAACTATTTTGAAAGATGAATGAAACAAATTAAAAATCCGATAAGACTAATTTTAAATTTCTTCAATTTTCAGCTAGAATTTTTTGAAAGCGAATTTTGTTTTAAAACTTGCAGCTAATGGTCATAGAATATTATTTCAAAATTTTAAACATTGTTAAATACGATTTATTAGAATTTTGGCACTATAGGATCACTGAATTATATTTTAGCTTACACTTTTGTTAATAGTATCATACGTTAATTTTTCATTATTAAGTATTTTTATGGCAAATAAATAATCCTCATAATTTGCCTGCTTTAATTAAAATATAAATTACTGATAGACTCTTCAGGTATATTGAAGTATTCATTCCATCGTTCAAATCATTGCTGCGAGTTTTTGATTTCAGACAAAATCATCAAAAAAACTATTTGTTGGATTAGAAAAATGATTCCGAAATATCAAGGTATATTTCCTGTTTAATTCAGTCGTTGATTAGCAAAAGTTCTGTGTTTAATTAAAAAGGAAATTCATTATGCCTAATTTTTCGAAGATTTGAAATGCAAGAATGAAGTCAAAAAACAAAAAGAAGCATAATAAGTAGAACAGCAATAGCAATAGCACAAGTAACTGGGCAGAAAAGGCAACACAACAACTTCAACAACTTCATTTTACGCTCAGCCGAATAATCCTTTTTACGATTTACGACTGCTACTTCTATGCTGAAAATTTGTATATTGACTGCTGTCCAAAGAAATCATTCTTGAAATATTCAAAGTCTTCAAATTATTCCTATCATAATTACATTTTGAATTGAAATTTAAATCAATGAGATTGAAAAGTTTTGCTCTTATTACTACTTATGTGAGTGTGTGGAAATGTGTAAACATAAACCTTATAAATTATCTGGAAGAATGTATATTTCAATAATGTTTTATATGATTTAATTAAATTGATAAAATCTAAAGCAACTTTTATAAAATTCTCGTTTAATAAAATATTTCAATTAATTTAACAATGTGTTAGATAATTTATATAAATATTTTCATTTCACCTCATATAGCTTATTTTAACAGGGAAAAAGTTAGTTACTAACCATGGCTCTGTTTTATATGGATGTGGTGTGAGGCCTTCTTCAAGATTTAACTGTTTGACATGAAGCAATTCATCATTTTCATTACCGTCATAACCGGATTTCATACCAATCGCAGCTTTTTCTGCACCTATAAATAGGCCATTACTCACTAATTAATTCCATTGCTTATAAAATAAATAAATTTATAAAATGAAAATAAATAAACAACTTCACTCCCTTCTCTTATTAATTTTATTTGTCAAAAATTCCAAAATTTTTTCTACATTGATATTAGGACAAAGAATAATTGCTTCATTTACTATTTAATGAATAATTTTTCAAACTTCTTTGTCTAAAATAATTAGAAAATGAAATTGATTCCTCCAATTTTCACAAGACCACTAAAGAAGAAAACTTTCATAACAATTTTTTATATTCCATTGCTAAGAAATTTTGTTGTTGGATGTAATTAAATTCCGAAAATCATATTGCTTCGATACTTCGATAAAATCATATTGCTTCGAACTTTCGATAATTAAATTCCGAAAATCATATTGCTTCGATATAGAGCCACTAATTCTTATAGATTGCCATTAAAATTTTTAAATTCAGTTTTCTTAGGCTCTTTTTTCCATCGGATTATTTTAAATTTTTTAAATTCTCAACAATTTTTGCTATAATATTTTTTTATTTGTAAAGTCTTGTCGAAGTGACATATAACACCACTCTCCTGTAAAGGTCATATTTTCAAATTTCTAAAATTTTTTTCTTTTCTATAAACATCACAGCCATTATATTGAATACCCGCAGTGGGTCAAATTTTTCGTTCGTTGGATAGTAGGTATATCATAACAGCCTAGAAGAACATTCCGTACATGGATCGTAATTATTTCGTAGAATTTTACAACAGCCAGTTATCGTTCAATTTGCCAAGATACATATTCTGATAGATGGAGAATTTTTAATTACCACTGGAATTAATTGATATCAGAATAAAAGTAAAATTTTTTTTATTCCATAAAATAGTGAAAAAAAAACGAAGAAAAGGAAAATGACAAGAGAAAATTACGAAAATCTTGTCGAGGAATTGTTGCCGTTGTAGCGCTTTCCTCAGACAAATAAATCGTTCCATCCTGGGGTCGTTCCTCCATCTCATCATCACGTACCAACCGTCCATAACTTCTTAATGGCTGTAAACATCACATGTTTTAATGATTCAATTTGAATTTTATTACAATGATTAGTTTCATTAGTTTTGTGTAATATCTTCTTTATTATCAATTAGGTTAGTGATATTAGCTGTAAATAAAATCCTACTTAAGGATGCTATAGATATTAAGCCTCGGAAAGTGATTTCATTAATTTTAAATTTTATAATTGATTTTATATTCCATATATTATAATCGATTTTATACCATTCAATTCAAAATCATTGGATACATTAAACAAATTATTTTGGTGCATTAAACAAAATAATTTGTTTCATGTATCCGATGATCTTGAGCTGGATCAATTATATGATATGAAGATTATAATATTAAAATTAAAATTTGAAGTAACCGACCGAATGTATGCTTTGATCAATATTAGTTTCTAATGCCCGAGGTTGCTCAAAGCTATTATCTAACTGTTTCTGTGCATCAGTGGGACTTGTAGAATGCCGTCGTTTCTTCTTGAATAATCGCATAAAAAACGGTAATTTAGAACGTTTCATTTCCGGTTTTATCACGTAACTCTCACGTTCTTGATCGTTCACTTGTTGAAAAGCTATGTTTTGAATAATATTTCTTGTAGTTGGGATATCGTCTTCCAATCTTAAATTTGTAAATTTTTTTGATGTAACGACAGAAATCTAATAATCAATAATATTAATCGTGAAAAAAAAAAAGATTCCAATTTAATTACATAAAAGCTACGAAATTACTATTTTTCGGCAGCTTTCAGTAAAAAGCCAAATATAAATAGAAAGATATAAAGAAACTCAGAAGAAGAAGAAGGATTTAACAAACCGAACAACAAACTTTTTAATTACTTGTTCCGTTTGTCTGATTTGACGATTTTTTTCTAACCGATGTTGCTGCGATGGTATACCATAGCTTTTAGAATGTTCCGATCCGCCAGATATGCGCCTAGCAATTTGCCGTTGAACAGCTGATTTTGGATATTGCGAATGCAACGTCTAAAAAATTATTTAGTTTAACTTCGTATCATTTTGAAAAAATTGAAACATATCTATTTCTCCGACAGTTTTATTAACAATAGAAAAATATATTGATGGAAAGAATATATTTTTGCTACAGTATATTAAACTGCAATAAAAAATTAATTCAAAAAAAGAATTGAATATTCATGAAATCATAGTGTTGTTTATGTAATTCTAGAAAAATATTAAGATTGTGAAAAGCTTTATCCTTTTCCATTATTCAGATTGATTATCATTAGTTACCTTTTGTTGTGATTCGATATCGACCACAGTTTGCACTGGTTTTTTCATCTTTGCTTTTCCTTCTCTGTCATCATTTGATAATTGATGAATAGCAGCTACCGCTTCAGTTCTGTATTCTGGTGGCGGAATACTTCTCATATACACATTTCCTACTCCATTTTTATTTGATGACAACAATTGTTTCGTTATGATTTGATTTTCTTGTGGAATATCATTGATCAATGTCTCGTGCGGCTTATATTTTGATATTACTGTTTAAATGAAGCCAAATCAATCTTTCAATATTTCATCACAATAAGGTAATAAATAAAATTTTGAATATTTGCCACTAATCAATATTTCTAAATACAGCATTATTGATATATAATCTAATTGTGTAGATTGAATAAAATAATCTGAAATTTTGACATTCGGAAATCGATATTCAATGAAAATCGATTCACAGCTAATTCTATCATTAATTGCAGTAAATGAATATGTTGATTAGATAGCGTCAGAAAATTTTGCAAAATTTAGCAAGAAATCTTATAAAAATTTCTCTCATCATTTTTTAATCAATTAACACAGAAGACATAATTAAATTCACTGAAATGAATACAAAAGAAAAAAATCAATAAAAAGTAGATTAAAAGATCGGATTAATGCAAAAGTTTATTGATAAAATTCATTACTTGTGCCATAATTTGGAATATTAGCATATTCTTCAGCTGGTACTTTTCCTCCTTTCTGAATATTTCCGTATTCTCTATGTGTTATTATTTCCGGATCATAGACATATCGTTTGATTACAGGTGTTGCGGAGGAATTCCAGTCTTTTAGAGCTGTTGATGTTCTAACATTTGTTGAGTGTTGATCGATCAGTTTGATGGGAATAATTCGTTCACGCGGAATATTTCTACAATAAATTTTAGTTAGTTATATTTAGGAATTTTTTTCTGCAACAATTATGATTTATAAGGGGTTTAATTTACTGTTTCTTCTATCGATCAATAATGATTATATCAGTTCCTTGTGTTGACTATTTTGTGAAGTAAAACTAATAAGCATCTATTTCAAACCAATAGAATTTATGCTGTCAATAAATGTTTAAATGTTCAGTAAAAAAACAGGAAATGACTAACATAAAGATAATTTAACTTCATACAGTCTCTCAATTTTTATCTTTATCTTTTGGTCAATAATCAATGAGAGAAAAAACCATTAATAACTTCCTAACTTCGAACATTGATACTATGACAGTAAATTATCCGTGAGAGACAACCGATGGAAAGTTCGAAATTTTCAAATTGCTTCACTTCTACCCCAAGTTTAGTTAAAAAAATTTACAAATATGAAGCAGAATAATTTTTGTTTAACAACTCGAAATAATTAAATAATAAACAAAAATTAATGCTTCACATATTTTCTACTTGAAAATGAATATAGTTTGTGTTGAAGTGAATCAAATAATAATTTTAAAAATAAGTAAATTTACATACTTTGTTGAAGATTGCGCAAAAGTTGATGGATGTTGCAGCATATCGGCGTTATTAGCGAATTCGATATTTTCATCAGGAAAAATTGATCGCGGTTTCAAACGTCTGACTTGTTCGGAGAAGCGATCTAATTCGTCCATTGATAAATCCCAACTTAATTTCGCCTTTTCTTTTTCTACTTCGTCGTCTTTTTTATTTTCTATAATATTATCGTAATAAGCAAACAATAAAAATTTGTTAACAAATGAAATTTTAATGCAAATTATTTTAATTCAAATTTCATACTCAAAAAAATTACACAAAAAAATAATCAATAAAATATATAATAAATTTTTTTCAATTAATGTAAATAAATGAATAAATAAACAATGTGAGGATTTACGAAATGAAAAGAAATAAACAATGGAGAAATATTTCTCAAAAACTGTCAATAAGAATTGAATGCATTGGGGTGGTTGGAAGAATGTAATAAACATTAGAGAAGCACCGCCTCAACAATAATTCTATCATTTTATAAAAACAAAAACAAAAGAATTTTCAAACTATTAAAAATTTAAGTGTTAAAAATGTTAATGTGATTTGATAATTAAAAAAAAAACTCGTCGGAGTTGATATTTAAAATTTACTTAAGTTGATATCTTAATGAACAGTAATATTTGCAAAAATTATTATAGGCTATTTTTGCATGCATACTATTTACTGCAAGTGATTGCAACTAACTGTCTATCATTTGATACAAAATGATAGTTTATGGCTTTAAACTTGAACTAATATTTAATAAGTTTTTTAAACTTATCTTAATTAATGTTTGAAAAGAGGAAAATAATTGAAAGTTGTAGAACAATAATATATTTTAATGAAGAAAGAAAAGATTCTTCCACCTAATTGATATACTTATTGTTATTGTTATTTGATTATTTCAAATATCAGACTAAAAATTAATTTGAAATATTTAAAAATAAAAAAAGGCCACTGAATGATATCATAATAGCAATTTTTCCGGTTTATATGCCAAACAATTTCTTATCTCTCTTCTGATACAAATCGAAAATCATTTACGGATAGCAACTGTTTACTATTTGCAGTAACTCTGCGTGTGTGTGTGTGTGGTATCTATATCGGTGTGTGTGTATGTAAAGAACCGGTTTATTTTGGCGGGAAAAGGTATCAAAGTCATTAAATTTTATGTTTGAATGAATTTTAAAATTTGCATATTTTTTAAAAAATGAACAAAATTAAAAATTAAAGCTTAATTCTTCTCAAAATTCCTAATTTTCATAATGAAAATTCCTTTCAGATAAATTCTCTCTCAACTTTCCCTTTCTCTCTCTCTCTCTCTCTCTCTCTCAGTTCTCTTTCAACTTTCCCTCTCTCTCTCAATTCTCTAATTTTATAAAAAAATTTAGATTCGAAAATACAATCCATCCAAATGTAGAGTTCTGAGATAAATAAAAAATTTGAAATTTAAAAAGGAATAAGAATTCAATCTGACAGATATACCTGCCAGTATGATAATGCTTACCTTAGCATTCAATCAGATAGATATACCTGCCAGTATGATAATGCTTACCTTAGCAATTAATGAAAAATAATTTCAATATGTGAAACTTTCATAATTTTACTTTCTCAGTTCGTTAAATATTTCCAAAAGTTATTTGGAAAATTTTTTCCTTTTTTTCTCAGCATAAAGAAGCCATTTAAGGATTCAAACAGGTAAGGTAAGAATTCAAGAATAGAATCATTTGAAAATGAAATAGATTAAAAACAATGGAATCAATTAAATGACAGCGATATAATGTTATGCACCAAAAATTACCTCAGTGAATTGCATCCGAAAATTAGATGATATGAAGGAAAAGGCAAAAATTAAGCCAATAATTAGCGTTACAGAAGCGTTATTTTGAATTTAATCAATAATTTTGAATTAAATTCCAAATTAAAATTTAATTTTTGTAAACTAATTAAATGAATTAACTTATAAAATTAAATTAGTGAATTATCCTAATCCTTTTTAAATAAATTAATATGATTAGACATATGCCATACGAAATCTTATCAGTGATTATTATAATTGTGCTATTATTATTTTGCTTTCAATTGAACTTCTAAAACAAGTTGGATGAGAATCTTTAAATGAAACGAAAAAAAATTGATGTAACTGATAAAATTTATTGATTATCAATTGATTTTATCAATCATTACAAAACATATTATTACGTATAAAGAAACAGAGAAATTATTTTCACATACCTTTCCACGTTTTACAACTAACTTAGCTAACTGAAAATAAGAAATTAGAGATGTAAACACATATGAATAATTTCATTGTTTACACAGAATGAGATGACAAACAATGTCACGCAAATGTGTATGTTCTAACTGAGAAAAATGAAAGAAAGATCGTTGGAAAAGAAGAAAACTTTATTGAAATAGTTTAAAAGAAAGAAATCATTCCGTTTGATACTTAGTAACAGTATACTAATGGGTGATAATTGGGAAGATAAGATTATTTTCCTTGCAAATTGTTTGTTTTAATAGTAACAGCTATTAGAACAATAAATTAGTATACATGCCATTTATAAAGCAACAATTTTGCATCATCAATTAATTACAAGTAATCGATCATTGTGTCAAAGGTTGATTGGGAAGAAAAATCTTAACCTCACCACCAAAGGTCACTATGTCAAAAGCATAAAGGTGTGAAAAAATGCAACGAAAAATTTATATCACTTACATGTTCAATTAAAAGTTAATATATAATTCAGTTTCGTTATTGTCTAATTGGTAACGTTTAACTGGTGAGATAGAGAAAGAAAAGTGTTGAATTTTTGTCGAAAAAAAGATCAGAAATTAAAAAATTTTTCTAATCTTTTGCTAGTTAAATAAAATTTTGAAAAAATTTTCAAATCGATATCATTTATGCATAACTGATATCACTTAACATGAAGTGAAAGATTGGATCAGTCTACTCTGTGTGATTTGAAATAGTTGAAATATTAGACACAGTGTAATTATTGCTTTCAAAAATTTTTATATTTCTTTCTCACAAGAAGAAAATTGGGGAAAATATCTAAATTTGTGATATTTGTTACTTTTTTTCTCGAATTAAATTAATTAGTCAATTTTTAATTGCATGAATTGAACTGAATTATTATTAGTTGATACCAGTCAGATTTAGTGATATGATATAAAAAGGATAAATGCAAAAAAGCATATCAAACCTTTCCTGAGTTGTAGAAAATGATCATTAAAGAAATAGTATTTGTTGTAATTCAAATTCAGATGACGTAACATCAGCTTGATCGATGGTGGCAAAATAGGTTTCTCATTGTTTGATGAAAAGAGTATTATTGTACTCGGTAACATATGAGGTGGAAACAAATTGATCGTCTAAAGCAAAATTAGTTCAAATTTTTGGTAAAAATCAATTAATTGAATAAGCGATTAAATCGATCGCTAATTCGATAATTGAAATTTGACAACTCACTTCCCGTATCATTTTTTCATCCTCATTGATCGATTTTTCGTCAAGTTTTAAGACAATACATAATGCACTTATATGTTGATTTTCATTTATAAAGTTATGCAATATATCCGTTGTTGCTTCTTTTGTTGGTATTTCGCTGCAAGGTATTGGAAAAATTATGGTATGATATTGGAACTGAGATAAAAAAGAATTACGACATTGTAGTAGAATTTAAAGGAAAATTATAATGTGTGCTACAATTGAGATGTTTATACATCTTTATTGAAATGAGTAGAATTCCATCACTTGCCATATCTTTGCAATTGTAGAAGTGAGGGTAGCTTCCTAAGAAAACTTGCCATTCCTCCAAAAATTTCACAATGTATTTTGGTAGGGAATTAAAAAAAATTTTTGAATATAAGAAGTCAAAAGAATAAGAGAATGTTTTGGAAATAAGATAGGAAGAATATAATCATTGTTGCAAATGCAAACTTTTCAGCTCTTAAAATTGTGCATTTCCAGTTAAATGGTCAATTTCTGTTCCACTAAAGTACATAATACCTGTCGCTAGCAATTTCTGGCGTATCGATTATTATCGGTCGAAATGGCATGATCGTTGCATTGAACACATATTTGGTAATCGATTTCATCGGGGTACTTTGTCGATCGAATATCTAAAGCTACTACAATAACAGAAATCCTACATAACTGGATCTTTTTTAACCCCTAACATTTATAATGACTCATTCGAAAGTTATCTTTTAATTTAACTATCACAACCAATTTATTTAAAAATTTTATATAATGAGTGAGCAACAAAATATTATTAGTATTAGCTTTAGGAGTTATTAGGAAAAAAGCATCGGATATTTCTGTAAAAAAAAATCCTACTTCATCGGCGATTTTATATTGAACACCATCAAATTTAGCACCATAAAAGTAATTGCACATGCAATCAATTAGATTCGATTTATTGCTTCCAGTTAGTCCAACTAATAAAATAACGCGGTCACTACGCTTCATGTTATCTGGAAGTAAAATTTTGATAGAAGATTTATCTTAGATGATGACTGGAAAATGGTCTTAATCAAGATTCCTAGATAACTAAATGAAATGAATGAAAAATTAGTTATTTACTTTGTTTTTGATTAGCATGCCTTTTTCTGGAATCATTTCTTTTAGCTATGAAAACTTTTCGATTCACACTAATTTCTTGTTTCGCTTCACAGCTACTGTACACAAAAAGAGAAAGAAGAAATATTTCATCTTGCTCGATAGGCAAATCACTATTCATAATAAATTTGTTAATAAATTTAAGTTATACATTTTGCTATTACTTTTCGAACTATTTATTACCTTTTGAAGCCCCAGCAAAAACAGTACGCACATTGCCCACATCGAATGCTTCACCGGCAAATTTGCTTGTTGTTTGCTGTTCTGAAATTTCTTTGTTTGTGTCTACCATTGTTCGAATCTCTGAAAGTAGCATTATGGACTAATTGATCAACTTTAATCTTTCAGCAACCAATCAGTTAAGACATCGATTGAAATAACGAAGAAGGTAAGTTAGTGATGGATAATTTCTTTTCGTCTTTTACATTCATTGATCACAGGATTCAGATTTCCCTATTGTAAACACTCTATCCTTTCTGCTAAAAATCAGTTATACTAATCGTATAAGAGAGAAGTGAAAGCAATTGAGATCTGAACGAATGCAAAATTTCTTTTATCATTTATTACTAATTGTTTATATAAAAGTCAACTGATTTTCATAAATAGTTCAACTATTCGCTAAATTATAATTAAATTTTTAAAAGCTTTCTACAGGTAAAGATTGTTTCTACAGATAATAAAGATGAGATTAAATCATAAAGGAATGAAGAAAAACTATATCATATATATTTGGAAATTTTCCTCATTTCCAATGCCATTCTTTACAGAAGTTTGCAACAATAAGATGAGAAACAGTCATGTCAGGTGGCAATATCATAATAACATAAGCAATAATAATTATAATAATTGTAATGGATAAATTATATGAGAAATAAATTTTAATTATATGAGAAATAAAGAAATAAACAAAAACTTTACTTTTAAGAATTATATTTTTTTAAAAATTACATATATATATAATTTATCTTTTTAAATTTACATATATAATTACACATTTTTAATTTTTTTGATATTTTAACGAGGAGTAAATCATTTATTTATAAAGGATAATATAGAATTTTCAATTAAAATACTAAAATGCATAAACTTTTCGGTTGCCATAAATTCTTTTATTCTCTTCAAAAGTCAAAATCAAAATTGCTCAACAGAAAACCGGATTTGGTAATTTTGTTTAATTATTAATTAGTGCATTTCATATAACGATAAAGTTGATAATAGCTTTGACGAATTATTCAACTTCTTCTTCTTCTTCCTTTCCACATTTTATGAAAAAAATGAATTTATTTGAAACTTTTCATTTTCATGGAAAGCAACACATACGCATATATACTATGGATTTGATATGACTGTAGGCTGAAAATTGTTTTTAGGATATGATGAGAATTTTGCATAACTTAGTTAGTGTGTGATAATAAATGGATAAATCGATTTTTTTGACTCAGAATAACAAATTAGATATTTCTCGCTTATTGCATACAATTTTCCATTACAAATTAAAGACTTGTGATCGCTGTAAAGGAAGTAAATATTAGGCATATTTTTGAAATTATTATAAATTAACATATGACAGCAAATCGCAATCACTTCTAATTGCCACAGATTAACATATTTCATGTATTTTATGAAGCAGAAAAAATTGAATTAACACAATAAGTAAGGTTACGTAACAGTTAGTACTTTGAAAGATATATGATGAAGCATTGTTATGTAAAGAATTTATAAAATATTATTATAGATGAAATGATAATGATGATAATAAATAGTAGTAAGTAGTGATGATATCCCAATGTAATCACTGATAATCACCTACCAATGGAAGCATTTTTGTGTTATTTTCATGCATACAAAGATTGATTATCATTCATTTATCGATTATATTGTGATAAAAAGAAAAGAATATTAATAAAATGAAAAATTGTTAACTTCCAAATTCACATATTTGTTTACATTTTTAGTGAAATTATTTTCTCCAACGATTACTAATACCACTAATTCATAAAACTTTTCTTCTTTCTCTTTTCATTCTCTCTCTCTTTTTCTCTTACAAATAAATTAATTGCATGATAGTAACCAGTAAAACACTGTCAAATGGAACATTTATAAGCATTGACCTTGAAAATATTTTAAATATCAGAAAAAGGATGGATGAAAAGGATTAATAAATATGAATAGAGAGAGATATTCTATAGATAGATAATTGATTTATGAGAGAAAAGAGAATCAACGAAATGGGAATTAAAACTGTTTACAATATGAGAGAGAGAGAGAGAGAGAGAGAGAATAGTTCTCTCATTTTAAAATTGGTACTCCATCCATTCCTTAAATCTATATAAATTGAACAACAGCAATATCCATTAATTGATTGTGTAAATAAAATTTTTGGTTTGTTTATTTTTAACAAATTTCTAAACTCTTTTATTTCTTATGTAATTAAATGGCATTTGTGTAAGACAATGAGCTCATTTATTTTCATGCGATATATTGAAAAGAAATTAAAACAAAAAAACTTTAAGTATTTCAATTTTCAATCAAAAGAAAAAGATGAAATTTGATAGTTTAAATTCTGAATTTTATTAATTTCTTATCGTTCGTATGAAATTTTCCCCAATTGTTTTAACAAATTAAAATAATAAAGAAAGAAATATCGATATTAATTATAATAATTGCAAGCAATAAATTTATAAAGCAAAAAAATAATGAAAACTTCATGAAATTCAAAACTAATTGTCGCCATCGTATAAAATAGTATTGAAGAGAAAGGAATAAGAGAGGAGAAAAAGTAGTAATTATTCAAAACGGTGTAATTTGGAAGTGCAGGACTATTTTCCTTTTAATAAAAAAAAGGATGGAAATAATGAGTGAGTTTTAGAGGAACAGTAATATCGAATGTCACTTGATTAGGACTCAACATTGTCGTAGAGATAGAAAGAGAAAGAGAGAGAGAGAGAGAGAGATACTGTCAATAATAATTCTAATACTTTTCAATCATTACACCTGCTAATGAGAATAATATTTGGAAACTAATTTGCTTTTCATTTCTCTTTTCACTTGGTGAATACCAAAATGAACTAATTATTGGAATAGGAAATAGTAAGAAAAAGACGTTCATAAATTTTCAAATACATTACAGTCGTCATGATAATATATTCCTATACCATTTTTGAAACTAATAATATCCTTATTCCTGGGTGAATTTTGTGGAATTATTGTTTTTATTACCATTTTGTAAAGTGGATTTTGATCTATAATAATTTGTAACTAAATTTAAGGATAATTTTGCCTTGTCATGGAATATTTAATATCTTTAATTAAGTCTATAAATGTATTATAATATGTACAAAACTAACGCAACGCCATAATCTCTTCGTGTAGTAAATTTTCTTTAATCCTTCTTTATAACTTATATTTTAATAAGTAGTTCCATGAATTAGAAGATTTTTTAAAAGGTAAAATGAAACTATGGAATCAATAATGATAGAAATAACATTTTGGAATGATCGTATAATGGATAAATTGGATAAATTTGTTGAAACGAATACATTTATGAGAAGCGAAAAAATAAAATTATTTGAGTACAAATTAAAAAAAGAAACACAATCTGCAACATAATGGAGCAGTTTATATTGAAAAGAATAATTGTTTTCACTAAATTAACTCATTTCATCTTAATAATATCCGTTTATGTTTCATTATATTAATCCATTTCCAAAGCATTGAAGATATTTCCGTCTTTGCAATAGTTTATGTCAAATAGATGGAAAATAAAAAAGTGAAAATAGAAGTTGAATGAGTTATTAAGTTGAAGTTTAAATGACAGAAAGTATTCGAATGGCAAATAAAAACTAATGATTTTTCCATCATAATCTAGATAGGTAAACAGACAAAGGTGATCGATCATATGGATGGCAACGTTTCAAATAATTTCATCAACAATAATAGCCGGTTTGTTAATGTTATTGCTATTTCCACTCCATAGATTGATGAACAAACAACCAGACAGGTTTTATTTGGGGATGTACTTCATATTACTTTAATTATTTAGGTAGAACTTTTCGTTTCCTTTTAGGTAAACGAATTTTGTCGAATTTTAATCTGGCAGAGAAAATTAATTTAAAATATGGCTAATTTAAAATATATAACGAGAGAAGCTTACTCTGACAAAAAAACAAAAAAATAGTTCGACCTCTCCATTTTTCTGTTGGATTCAAATTTATTGTAATTGAAATAATAAATAATATTAGGTGACCTCGTTATTGAAACTCGAAAAGATAGAGTAAACAGAATAAAACAAATTAATACTAATTCGTATCGAAAATTGAAATTGATTTCATGGAAAGATAACGGTTTATTTCAACCGATTGCAATGGAAAATATGAAAGGTATGTGTTTGTTTTTTAATGACTGGAGCTGTTACTTTCAGAAATGTGTACTCTTAAATACTGACAGTAGAATATTAGTAGAAGAAATAAAAACGTTGTCTTCAATTACTTACTCATAAAATGGCGATGAAACAATTGTCGATGATGATGGTGATAATGATAATAGCTGTAAGATGTAATAATAATGACCACGATGATAATGATGATAATGATGACGATGATCATGATAATGATAAGTGATGATGATGATGACAAAGTTATAACTATACATCGAGGGACCATTTTCAGGAAAAATTTAATTCCCAAATTTCTTAACTTCGCATAATCTTTTTACTTTTTCTTCCATTTATTCATTTTGAAGTACTGCAGACTTATAATAGTATGTTAACCGTTTCTTAAGATCATTCATTTTGTTTCCAGAAGTATTTTTATTCAGTAAGTTTCAAGTTAATTTCATTTCTTTCAACCATTAGAATATAATTATGGCAAGTTGGCTGATTATTTCGTTATCTAAAGAAAACCAGATTTATCTAAATGATATCTTTTCATAAAATATCTTATAGACATAACAAAGGAAAAGAGAAAGTTCCGATTTTGATATGATTCAGTGCTATGTTGAAATAGAAAACAAGATCTATCACATAATGAGAATAGTAGGTAAACAAATAATGGAAAGGTTAGTACAGTAATTTAAATCATGTGATTAAAAAATTCGATGTAATTTATTATAGTCATAACAATATTATTCGGTGAAATGAATGCTTACTGAATGGAAAAACGAGAAAGAGTATTTTTTTCAGTTATTTATTTCATATTTAATTACTTTGTGAATTTCATATAGTTTGTAAACTATTCAATAATGTAAATATCCATTCACATTAGCAATAGAAATGATTATAACGGAATGTCAGAAATTTAATAAACAATTTTTGAATTTTAAATTTGTTAGTCCTATTGCAATCCCATTGCTATCCATAAAACAAATCTAAAAACAACAACAAAAATAATTCAAAAACGAAAAAATATAAAATTAAAATGATGACAAACAATATTAACAATAATACACTTTATGTTGATGTAAAGTGCATCTTTTTTGCCGAAAATTTGTGCATTTCAACAAATTACGATAATGATGATATTAACGGATAGTAAGCCTTAAATTGAATCATATAAACAGAGAATAATGAACAATGTTTTAACAGAGATATCCATAATCTTCTATGATAATAAAACTGAAGTACTAGAACTTTACGAAAGGTATTGTTGTCAACTGTGAAATAATTCTCGGCTAAATGAGAAAATGTAATAGAAATGTTTTGATAAGTTCATTTAATTACAATACGTTTTATATAATATAATATAATATTCGTTTAAAACTTTTCTGACATTATGTTTATTTTAACGATTGTTGAATTTTTCAACATTATGCTTGTTTATCGCATATAATTTTCTTCTTGTAATATCAAATGAAACAATAAGCATAAGCTATTAAATACTTAATAAAAAAACTTTATTTTAATTCTATTCTCCCTTATTGTTTAATAGGAATAATGTAAGCAATATATATGCACAAGAATTATTACAACATTCGAATGATAATGTTTATTAGAAATCAGTAAAGGATTTGATTTCATTTGTAACAGAAGTTTTCTTATCTTCATGAATTTGAGAACAAACATTTCATCAAAAGTGACAAGTGAAGTAAAAAACCGATTTACTTTCAATTCTTTTTTGGCCATATTTGAGGAAAATTTTATCGTTCCGATGAAGCTTTCTTGATTTGATATATAAGTTTATTATAGAATAAAATCAGTTATAAAATATGAAATTTTAGATAGCAAAAAATATTCATTAGATGAGTTCTCACACAATGATTTCCAATATTTTCCAATTTTTGGGATATAATATGATAAAGTTAGAAAAAATGTTATCTGATATTTTGCTGTACTACCAGAAAAGACCCTCCGGTAAAGTTGGCATCATCCAGTAATCTTGCCATTTGTTCCGATGATTCCGTGGTGTAGTATATCCAATAAAAGCAATTAAAACATATGAATGATAGTGGAAAAATGAACTGACAAAGTTTATCGACCTGAAAAGATAATATATAACATTTCATTTCACTTACTGCCAAACGGTAACAAATTACAAGAATCAAAACCATTCAATCTTTCCCTATACTTAACTTTGTTTGTAGTAAGAAAATTTTATTTAAAACTAGATAGGATGCAAAAAACTCTAAAAGTAGAAATAGCATTAAAAAAATTTTTCATTATTGTTTCTGTACTTTTACACATATCTTGTTTGAACCTCAATTTATGACTGTGCAAAATATCTTAAAATATCTCACTGGCAGATCAATAAGGTAACATTATGGATATCTTCAAAAGAATTGGTTGGTTGTTGATATTCTGGAACGATCGCTATCATCTATGTAGGACAGTGTAATATTTTATCTCGATTGTAAGCTGAATGGGTTTAAACAAGATGCAATCTCATTTGAAATGAATGATTAGAGAAACCCTTTCGCCTGTCCATTTAGATTTCGGCCATTTTGAAATATTCTTAGAACTCAACGATTCGTGATAGCAAATTTTTTGTAGTCCGTGAATCTCATTTGCATCCTTTGTTACTTCATATGCTTCCAATGATACATTATGCCTGAATTTCGATTTCATAAATGTGACTTAATAAATAATATTATAGCTATCAAATTTTTTAATACTTTTTGAAAATGCTAATTTTTCAAAGTAATCCTGTTATCATTCAATAAATTGCCGGAAAACGTTTACTTTATATGTTGTGATAGTAATATAACTTGAAAACTAAGAAGGCTCGAAGATTCTACTTCAGTTTATTTTAGAATTGCTATAATAAACAGGCAATCCATCTGTCATTTTGGATAATATAGAAGTGGGAGAATAAGCTGCTTTAATTGGTTTTCACTGATCTGTATTAACTTTAAAATAAGTTCGAAGTTAGACTGTTGATTTGTCTCTAATTCTTGACTCGACTTCAACTAGTTCAACAATGTCTTTCTTCTTATTCTGTTTAGTTGTCAGCAATTTTAATTAGAAAATATTCGAAAAGTGAAATACAGAAAAGTGATTAGAAAGCAAATTGTTCCAAAAAATAATGATGAAATAAAGAAAATTATTGTATAGAAGCATTTATTCCGATTATATCATTTAAGGTCGGAGAATAAATTTTAACTTAAATTTTTAGCTTACCTTTTTCGAACCTTCGTTTGGTAGTTGCATCTGACACAGTTTTTCTTATTTTCCATTTTGTCGGAAGTTTCCTCTTGACGATTATCCTCCTTCTTTGCAGTTTTATCAACATGTCCAACAATGGCTAATTCAACCAATGAAAAAAATATAAAGCCCTAAAAGTGATTTTATTATAACAGCGATAGCTTTCAAATTCAATTTTACATTAAAATTCAAAATGAGCTGAATTTAAATATCATGTTATACAGGAAATTTTTCTCAGTCTCGATAAATACAATGAAAAAAAAATTGAGCTGAATTTTTTCAAAAGTTTACCATAGATGCAAATATCCAAACATCCATTGCTTTCACATAAGAAACTTTCGGTAAACTTCGAGCCACATTGCCATACTGGAATATAATCTTGCATCATCTAAGAGATAGTGCTGACGAAAACGAAATAGAACCAGTTTAGTTTCAGTAAAATTTCAGTTGTTAATTTTTATCCAAAAAGAAAAACTATCATGCCAAAAATAAAAAGACCTGAAATGTAAGTGCCATCAATGAAGACACACCAAGGGTTATTCGACCTGGCAAACACTTTGAATCGATCCAAAAAGCTATCCAGCTAAAAAAATAAAATATTTTTTAAATCTGTTTCTATACTTTTTATGCGAGTCAAATTTATTTACTAAAATAATTATTTGAAAATAAAACTTCAAATGTCAATTCAGAGAATTTGCAAGGTCTTACTTAAATTTTGTTTCAAAAAATAGTTCTTAACCGTTGAATAGTAGCTCTTAATAGTTCTTAAATAAACGCTGAATAATAGCTCTTAACCATTTCAAAATTTTAAAATCGTCTTTGAAATAAAAAACTTATTTTTGTAAGTATTTTTTGATTTTAAAGAAGTTCAGCGTCGTAGAAATAATAAATGAACTTTCGACTCCCGAGTTCAGTGTCTTAAGAATCGAGAGCTAATTTACTATTTCAAAATTTGTTACTTTATCTTTGTTATGAATTATTGTTTACTCAACTCAGATTTATTTTAATTTGTTTGAACTTTTGATCCCATTAAGATCGATTGTATTATTTATTACAACAATTTCAAATCGTAAAGTACAGTATTTCGATTCGTCGTATAATCAATTTTATAACTAGCAGAAAGGATTTTTTTTTCATCACTTAAGAGGAAAATTTTCCAGGAAGTCAATCAAATTTGGTGATTTTATTTGATTTCTAAATGAAATTTTAACAAACAAGGGAAATTTCAACAAATGACAGCTAATGGATGTGTAAATCAATAATAACCTCTTTGGTGATGTTAAGGGCAATGCATGAAATTTAAATTTATTTCCTGATTTGATAAATAAATTATTGCATACACTCTCATAATCCCAACTTAACTAATAAATATTAAAAAAAGTTAAAGCAAAGAGCAGAATTTTTTAAAAACATTCAGTAATTCTTTAAAAATGTCATTGGAGAGATATTCGTTGAAAAATGAGATGGAGAAAATTGTCACTTCGTGTATTTCCTTTATCAGAGTTGAAATTCTTCAGTTAAATAAATATCAAATCAAAATTTGGGAAAGTATACCTAATGAAAACAGATGCATACGTCGGCATATATAGCTGTAAAATGTAATAACCGTAGGTTCTACGAAAGTAAAAAGTTGCTTTCAGCTGATCCCATTGTCCCGCAGGGTAATAAAATTGTTGTTTTTGCCATGCATAATGTGTTAATTCAAAATCTGGCAATTTTCCCTATAAATTGTGCATTAACCATTTTTCAGTTTTTTTTTTTTTATAATTCTAACGAATTATGAACAGGTAGTGGTAATAATAGAAAGGTAGAAAAAAGTGATGTGAAATTATGTAGCAAATTATTATCACTGAATGAATTGGATGGAATAATTTGAATGGGCAATTATCTTTTTGATAACAATAAGTATAACCAAGAAATAGACTAAATGTTCTGACACTCGATAATATATGGGAATTGCTAGCATTACTGTGGCATCTGTAATGAGTTATTTTTTGAAACTAAATAGTTCATCTAGAATTAAAATAAAGAAGGAAATTTCCGTTATGAAATTAGTAAAGTTCCAATATGCAACTGTTAAAATGATCAACCAAATACCTGCAAATCCAAAATAACAGCTGTTTCGAACCAATCCAATCGCACACGATCAACATTAAAAGAATAAGATTCAAAGGTTATGGTACATCGTTGCACATCCATCGGGAATGATGACATATCCAACTCACATGGTGCTTCTACCTAAAAACTATCAGATTTATTCCAAATATTATCAATGGATTGATTTAAATAATATTTCTTGTTATCAACAAATGCGCAAAAAAGTTAGAGATTTTTTTTGAACATTTTTTCTCATTTCTTTACATAAGTAGAAATGTACTGTATTGTCAATAATTAGTATTTTCATTGGGATGCTGTTGATGTACTGCTGAAAATATTACATGTAACAGAATGAAGAATTAGTAATAAATTAATACCTTTACCCGATAATTGACCCAAATTGTGCCATTCGGATAGATAAGCAAAAATATATTTGGTGTTGGACTATTATGTATTGAGGTAGATTTACTGTTCTGAAAACACACGTTGGGCAACCAAATATCATCAATGGTACGATGGCTGAGCGTTAAATTAGCCAAGCATCTGCAATATCAATATTATAAAACAAAAAAAAAATTAAAACTTTTCTGTTTTTTTTTTTACCGACATGAGATTCCTGAAAATTTTCCGTTCAATCAATAAAAATAGCTACTTGGTAATATTTTCGAACGCCAATCCAGGATCGAGCCAAATCTGGCTAAAAAACACATCGGCAGTAAAACTTGCAGTCATTTCGGATATACTAGAAATAGCCTGAACCATTAGATCAACCTTCACGTTAACGCCTTCTGTCATTGGTATCGTTTTACGATCATACGAAAGCATCAAATGCTCCAGCACTGACTTAAAATAAATTTCGTTCTATTAATCTTAATCTTCTTCTAAAGTTAAACTAAAAGTAATAAGAAGCTATGAAGAAAAAAATTATCTGTCTTATTTAATCATATAAAGTAATTAAAACTTTCAACATTAGATTTCTTTTTTGTTTTTTTACTTCATTTCATTTCATTTCCCTAACGTAATCCATCCCTTATCTATTTTATCATTTCCATATCTGTTTTCTAGATAACCCTTTCATTAGTATTATATGCTATGGCATCGAAAGTTCATCACTTTTTCTCATTCGATCAGATCAAATAATTTTTGTGTAATTTGTGTTCTAAATTTTGTGGGTCAATTGTAATCATTTTGTCTAATTTGTACATGAATGTTGGGAAGATGAAATATCATAAATAACCAAATAAGTTATAAAGCCAGTTGACTAGTACTTTTATGATATATTTTAAAATCTTAAAATAATGTTTTACTTTCGCCAATTTATCATTATTATTCTCTTTGCAGTTCTGTTCTGTCATTTCTTTCAATTGAAACGTTTTTGACAGCGTCATTGATTTCGATACTGTTTCTATACTGTTAGCTTCTTGAAAATGAGCCGTAACCTCTTCACGTTTTTGTCGAATTTTCGTCATTATCTTGAATGTATTATAATATAGATTGATAGTAAACTAACCAGTTTTTAATGGAAATTTTCAATCTCTTTTATCTTCTTATAATTTATAAAATGATACTTGGTTGCTGGCATGACAGCTATTCATTTCGCTCTTCTTCCATTACAATCCCAAACTCTACTAACCCATTGGGCAAATAAGATCATATAGAGCTATTTGTTAAAAAAGCAATGATTGATTATTTTACCTGTTGATCATATTCTATTTACTTGAATATTCTAAGGTATATATCTATATATCTTACTGTGTTCCTTTCATTCATCGTATTATCTCTTATCACTTCAATATTAATAATGAATTTGGGACAACTACTGATCGTAATAAATGATGAAGGAAAAGTGAAGAAATAAACACTTACCAATTCGTAATCGTGTTCGGTTACATAGTATGCATTTACAGCCACAATATAAGGATGCATCATTGCCAAAAGAGTAAGATATAAATCCATTTAACAGAATGCTGTAAAATGTTAGTTATGATAGTGAGGATGGTGATAGTGAGGTATGAAGATAGGGATAAGGATGAGTAGTGTTGATTGTAAAATGTAGTATTTATGGATGATCAAAGTGACGGTGATAAAGGGTAAACGTTAATGCAGGGAAAAAGTAAAGAAGGAAGAAAACAGTGTTCAAAGAATTTCATTAAACTTCTTTCTCTTCTTATATCTTCCATGATAAATCTCGGTAGGAGTGGCTTAGCTTATTTTTACTTAGCTGTTTGCTGTTTTTTAATATCTTGGCCAAGGATAAGCTATTAACTCTATCATCATGGCCACGTTCCTTTGAGAAATAAAAGAAATTTTTTAATAAGAACGATGAAAATTTCCACTTAACCATTTATTTCGTAGCATTTTATAATATTTGTAAAAATTGAAAAGTGGATTAATAATTAATGAATTGACAGATTATTCTTCCATTCTATCTGTCAGCAAGCATATACTATTTTTATTTTAATTTAGCACAGTCTGAAAATGAACAATATTGTATGAGAAGATGCTATTATTCTCAAATAATCTCATACCAATCAATTCATAATTCCTTCTAGTATCGTAAAGTTAAATTTCAATTATGCAATTAATTGTTTAATTGAGAATATTCGAAACCGACAGCTTTTATATTATTGATTTCTGCAATATAAAATAAAAATACGTTGATATTTTTATCAAATTATAAAATTATTTCGTTGTTTTCTGATATTAATAACAAAAATTTTAAACTTTCAACTTTTTGCAACTTCCGTCTGTTATATTTATCTAAAATTAGCTTTTTCTTATTCCAAATATAGTAATGTTGCGTTTATCAGATATTTGCTGCTTTTTTGCTTCTTGACAGATTATTATTAATTTTTTTGTTTGTTTGCTTCTTATGGTTTTTCCGATCGCTATGAATATTTAATTGTTCATTTTATTATTTTCCACCAGCTTGAAGTTTTAAATGGAATTTCACAGAGATCATTTATTAATCACTTTCCATAATGAATTTGAATTGCTTTTCAATGTTTTCTTGTTCGATTTTCCTATTTAGCGGTTTATTTATTGTCTTTGTTTATTTATAATTTTTTCATTAGAATTACTGTGAATACGAATTTTCTTCTCCTAATTTAGCATTGAATCAACAATGAAACTTTTACTTCACAAAAATGAATTTCTTCAGTGGATAGCATTAATATTAAAATCATTTCTCAAGAAGAATGTTCTAAAATTGCAGCAATATGTACAATTAGGGAATCGTAAATCTTGGTAATGCATCAATTTAAATATAATGCAATATTAAAACTTCTTAAAGTAAAATTCATTTAACCATTTCAATCGATTCATATTCGATCCCAATTAGAAATTAACTATTATTAAATTTGAATAACTGAACTATTGTCAACGAGCAAGATTTATTTTCTACTTTAAATGACAGTAAAAATTCACATTTGCACTCTTTAAAAGTGGATTTTCAACATTTTCAACTTGCCATAAATGCACATTTCCGCTTGTCCAAAACTCAGAAGATACGTGAACTACAAGTCAAATGTATTTCGAGCAATATTAATTTACGACAAAAGCACACTTATGCATTTCTAATTCATCATAAATACAATAGCTACTTTAATTAACAGCCAATGCAGATTTGCGTTATGCAACAAAAGAAAATATACACATTTACGCATTATTAGCATATCATAGGAGACATCTCTGCTATTTAAAAAGCAATAAATGCATATCTATACATCATTAAACAACCAGAAATGCATATCTACGCTGCAAATAATCAACATTTGCACGCTTGCGCAATCTTAGATGTTGGGCCTAGAGTAAGGCTGGAAAGAAGGAGTATGAAGCTTCACACAGCGGTAAAGCGACGGAGATTTTAAAAGCTGACTTAGCATGTCGCATAGTCCTTCATCATTTTAGGAATAGCTCGAAGCTTTCTAGATCCTATAGTGAGAACTCGAAAATGAAAACTAATTCGTGCTTCACCTCGTTAAGCGTAACAACGAGCAGAGAAGGAAGATTTTCAGATGAGCCAGTTTCGGGACTGGTTGACGATGAAGACTGTTATGAAGACAGGAGGCTAGCAAAAGAGAGGAAGAAGTACCATGCTAGTTATTTCTCAATGAGAAAGATATCTATGTAGTAGTAAGAGCGCTTGTCGGAAAATCGAAATGATCTTGTAATATAAAAATGTTGTTAAAATCATGAAAGTATCTTGAGAAATTTATATTATAAATGTTATTTTCTCGAAACTTGTCAATTAAATAGTTTACGGTTGTTTTTATGAAAATGTCAAACAATCTTTTGTTTGTAATGAAATTCGAAATTATTATTTCCATTTAATCTTTGATTCTAGTTGACTTTAAATGGCCGTCTTCTTCTGAGCAGCTGTCAGTAGCAATCAGTTATCAATTAACTGAGTTCAATTATACCAATTAACTTAGAAACAAATCTACAAATAACTTACATTAATTTCTGACATCCCAAATTGCTCATTATTCATTTAATTTTAACTTCGAAATATAATCAATTTTCTGTTGAACAAAGCGAAAGTGATCAATTTTCCTAAAACTCGACACATTCCCGCTATAGAATATTCATTTTTATAACGATTATTGTTAGAAGCTATTTGATATTTAAATGTTATATATTTTAGCTACTTCTATCTGATATTCAATTGTCTTATTTAA